TTTTTTTTCATTTTTGCAAAATCGACTCAATTTGCAGGTTGATGGACGCCCACATCGAAAGCAAGCTCCAGACCTCGTAAAATAAAATAATTAATTTTCTCAGGGGGGAAAATATTTTCTCTGCCTCCCGGCGCGATCAGAGCAACCGACGAGAGTCTTGCGTCATCGCTTCTTCCAGGAAAAAAAGGGGGGGAAAATGGAAAAGCTTTCGATACTTTCCATCTCGCAAGCGTCACAGAAGCGTCACCCTTACAACGAAATCCTTAATCAGACGGAGTCGGGCGACATTTCCAATGATGTGTCATAGACACAGTTTTATTTTTTATTTCCCTCATGCTATTCCTCGTGAGACTGAGAAATTCCATGCATTTCGTAGAGAGTAGCAGTCTCTCCAACGAAAATCCCTCTGACTTCGGAAGACAAATTACCTCCGGGATCGAGGCGTCGATAGCACATGGTAATCTCGACAGGAATTTCGACAGCATGATACCCGATCCCGGTCGGTGACTCGGCACCGCGTAATTCACCCGTCGTTCACCTCGCATTCACCCGGGGAGACGGCCTTCACTCACCTTCTCTTCGGAATTGAGCAACTCGAGGAGCACGGCGATGAAGGCGTCCACGGCCATGGACCCCGCGGCGTACTCCTGACAGTAGTAGTCCAAGCGGGCGTGCTCCGTGTGGCTGAGGACGCAGCGGGCCTTCTCCCGGATCATCTCGAATTCCGCTCCTTTGCTCTGACGAGTGGGGCTGCGGATGACGGGCTCCTTCTTCCCTCCGTCTCCCGCCTCGTCGTCCCTGTCGCGGAAAGGTGGAGGTCATCCTCGCCGTCCTTGCCCTCCCTGTCAACCTCTCATCAACCCCTCCCCCCTCGCGATCGCTTTACCTGGATGGGTTGGAGGACCACGTGTTATCGGCAGCCGAATGCGGAACCCGACCGACGTGCCGGAGGTACATGGTCATGTTGTCCCACGATTTTAGGTGGCTCACTGCCTCGTCGTGGCTCAACCCGATGAAAGACTTGGAATTCACTTCAAGTATCTGATCTCCTACCTGCAAAAAAAAAGAAGAAAACAGGGCTCGCATGATATAAGGCTCCGGCTGGCAATGAAAATCCCCGTGCATGTCTATCATCTTATTCAATTCCAATACATTTTCTATTTCCTTCGAGAAAAAGAAGCGCTGCAATTAAGACGCGCGAGACACCGTATCGCATCTCCGCAAGGTGAGGAACGACGCGCACAAAGTGAGGAATGGCATGCTATCGTGGTATTGGCCTGGGAAGCTGATCACCAGGCACCGCAGGAAATGAGCGTCTAGGTCGTTATCGGCGCGCCCGGATTGATCTTCGTACACCTGCCCTCTCCCCCAACACCAGGGAAAACCAATTAGGCCTGTAGGTATGCGTTCATGAAGGATTCATGACGATCACCACACCAACCGATCCCTAAATCAATCGATCCCCACATGAGCTAATCCCCACATCAACCGATTCCTCAGACGAGCCGATCTCCACAACAACCAATCCCTACACCAACCAATCCCCACGGCGTTGACAGCCTCACCGATCGCTAAAGAGCAGGGGAGCATGTAATCCGTTTGTCGGACGTAATTCAATAGCCGACAGAACCTCTGTCAATTAGTCCTTCTCGCGTCAATTTGCTTTGAGGCCTTCGAAGGCCTCCGGTCTCCCGGGTGCGGATCGCATACATGCATCCCCGTCTTTGCCCTCATGCCGACGTGATCAGAAAAGACTTCATGGGAGGAATCAGACAAAAGGGCTGTCAGGGCTGTCAGGCCTGTCACAGTCGGTTTGCCGGTCGGTCCTCAGTTTCGACCATCTGTATCCCTCCAGCTTGAAAATTGCACTGTTTCATCTTCATCAACGTCAGACTGATCTCATTCCACCACCATCAGTGGGGGGAAAACAATTTTTTCAATGAAGTATTGCTTCAAACTTACCAACACTTTCTTTTTTTTTCTAAATAACTATCTTCTTACCATGTCGTCGCAGTTTATTGTGATCACGGATATAGAGATAAGCCGCTTTTGTGATCAATTTTTTTTAGATTAGTCCGCTTATCACTTTTTCAAGTAATTTTCGCTCCTCATTGTGATCAGATCAGACAGCCTTTTGTTCTCTGGGGATTAGTGCCTTCTCGAATAATCTCTTCGACAATGCCTCGAGCCGGAAAATACAGTTGAAATCTCGGATTTGCGCCCCATTAGAGCGAACCCTCTTGCTTAACAAGCCTGCCGTCCGATCGCTTTAAGCGACCGGTCGCTTTAAGCGGTCACAACGAGCGGCAGCGACTGCTTTATGTTATGCTGCGGCCAGACCTCATTATTGGCGCCGTGGGAGTTCCTCGACTACTACCTCTAACACAGAGATGTGTATTGATGAGATGGGTATGACTGCATTGTATGCACAAGGGCAGACCTTGAAGAAAATAAATAGCGCCTTTCTTTGGATGCAATTATGCTGCACAGCAGAGGCAGAGCCGGGACAAAGACTTTGTCCTGCATTAAACAGTTTCTCTCTATCACCTCAAAACAAATTCGACTCGTCCTTTCAAGTCGATGGTGGCCCGGGATCGAGCAAAGGGGCATGACTGGAAAAGAACTTAACCTGTTCCAAAGTCCTCTGGATTTCCTGTTGGGAGATTTTTCCTTGTCACACACTCCATGAAAACTTCTAAACAGAGCCTGCATTGGATCTGAGGGGTGACGAAATGACAGGTTTGACATGACTGTCTGGTACCTCGTTCCCGCTTCTCCTGACGTCACACAAACGTCAGGCAAAAGACCTTGCGAGCCCTTAGAAAACCTCCATCCCTGGTGGGATGGACGTTTCATCCAGGTGGATTTTCCAGGTGGATGTCCATCAAGGTGGAAATCCGTCAGCAAGTGACCTCCACCCGATTCCGAATTCACCTTCTATCCCCCTGTCATTCACCTTTATTACTTTGCAAGGAGAATGTTATGGGTAGGAGTTTACGAAGGCAAAAATCCGAACTATGGAAGATCTGAAAGCAGCAACTGCCGCTTGTTGCCACGTTGCCAGGCGACCTTCGACGAGAATGGAGGGCGTGGCGAGTTCCTGCTTCCAGGCGATAAAGAGAAACTATATTTCATTCGGAGATGTGTTTTTGTCGCGCGGCCGTCATAACTGCATGTGAAAGGACGGGGAATTCCCTTTTTTCTGGGTTCTGTCGACATGAAAATCGTGATTGCAGGTTGCAGGCAACCCCGGTTTTCCGTGGTCTGTGCCCCGCTCGAGCGGACCCGCCCACGTATATTTACATTTCACCTTCCCTCGCTCGAGCCGGTCTCGTAGATAAACCGGCCGAAAGGCCCGGGAAGAAGATTAGATTATTTGCATATTGGAAAACCCGATGCCTTTGCAGGGCTACCACGCATCGATTTTTGCACTCCTCCGTGCAAACACGAACGAGTCGGGGAGGAAACGGCAATTACGGCCGATCCTCGAGGGACCGATGTCACGGGCCGGCGGTATTGCATTCTCTTTACTCGAGGCAAACATCTCTCGAAGCATTGATTGACGGGACACACGGCTCCTCCCGGCTCGTGTCGTTTCGCAAGTGGCCTTTTAGCGGGAAGTTATTGCCTTCGTTCGTCACCGCGCCCCTCCGAGCGCCCACCGAACGCCCCCTGGGAACCATCAGAACCCTTCCAGAACGGGCTGGGGCCGTCCAAGGGAATAGAAGGCGATAAAAAGCCGATCTGGCAGATTTCCATAGGGTTGGAAATTCTTCGCATGTCGACAATGGGGTGA